AGGAAACTATGATGGCCACTTTTTTCTCTTGTAACCACTGGAGGGTCGATTTTTCTTTGTGCTTAGGGTCATTGTCGTGCTGGAAAGTCCAAGAGCGTCCCATGTGCAGCTTTCGTGCAGGAGAATGCAAATTCACTGCTAACATGTTGTGATAACATACTGCAATCATCTTGCTTCAGTTTTCACAATTCCCCATACCCTTAGAGCTCACACACCCCCAAAACATCAGTGAGCCACTACCATGTTTCACAGTGGGGTTGGTATTCTTGTTACAGTAGGTCTTGTTGACCCCTCTCCAAACATAACACTTATGGTTGTGACCATAAAGCTCTATTTTGGTCTCGTCACTCCAGATTACAGTGTGCCAAAAGCTGCGAGGCCTGTCAAGGTTTTGTTGGGGCATATTGTAACCGGTCTTTGTTTGTGGCATTGGTGCAGTAAAGGCTTGTTTCCAGAAACTCGACCATGCAGCTTATTTCAAATTCGTCGTATTGTGCTCCTTGAAACAACCACACCGTGGCCTGTATTTCTCCTGAGGTTACCTGTGGGTTTTCCTTTGTATCCTGAACAATTCTTCTGGCAGTTGTGGTTGCAATCTTTTTTGGTCTACCTGACCTTGGCTTGGTATCAAGAGATCCCCGAATGTTTCACTTTTTAATAAGTGATTGAACAGTACTTACTGGTATATATCAGGCTTTGGATATCTTTTTATATCGTTTTCAATTACCTAGCCTGCTAAGTGCATTTATGTGAGAGCTAATAAACTCATTGACTATTTATGCACAGACACTAATTGAAATTTAAAAAGCTACAGATGTGGGAAATTAACCTTAAATTGCCATTTTAAGGTCACCTTGTGTGTCTGTACCAAGGCCAAACATTCCAGGGTATGTAAACTTTTGATCAGGGCCATTTGGGTGATTTCTGTTGTAATTTAAAAAGGAGTTAAATAACTATGTGATAATAAATGGCTTTATATGATCATTATCCTTAACCACTTGCCCTCCAGAGGATTTACCCCCCTTCCTGACCAGGCCATTTTTTGCATTACAGCACTGCGTCACCTTAACTGACAATTGTGCAGTCATGCAACGCTGCACTCAAGTGAAATGTACGTCGTTTTTTCCCATGAATAGAACTTTCTTTCGGTGGTATTTGATCGCCTGTGCTGTTTTTTTTTTCTATTTTTTGCACTATTTAAAAAAAAAAAAAACTGACATTTTTGAGAAACTGTATTATTGACTAGCTTTTAAACATGTCCAGTAAAACAATTTAAAAAATCAAATTTCAACATAAATTTAGGGCTCATGTACACTGCAGCTGATAAATTCACGTTTAAGAGCTGTTCGAAGTATTTTTTCAGCAGCCCCTGAACTTACCCTAATGTTTTCCTATGTGTCCATGTACACATCGTCGTTTACAGGCAGTTGAGTTTAGTCGTTTTTTTTAAATGCATAAAACTTGCGTTCAGCAGTAGATTTTATCAGCATTTCAAATGCAAAACGCTTGTAAACGTGGCTAACCACATTTATAGGTGAAAAATGCATGCAAAGTGTTTTCCTGTACTCAAATTGACCTGGTACACCATACTTTGAGGTTTTGCATGAAACAAAAATATATTAGCCACTGCTGCAATAAGTTCTGCACAGAAATGAGCTGAAACACATCCAAACACCACAAAAAAAAAAAAGACAGCTAATCTCAACAAATACTGCTCTCTCTGCTTCTGCTCTCTCTATTTCTCTTAAAAATTTCTGAAATGGTTAATTCTGTACTGTTTTTCAGTGCTTTGTGGGCATTTTGGAAGGGCTCCTGAGGTTATCTTAAAAAACGCTTCTAAACGCAAATGCTCATAAAAGCTTATAAATGCGGTTTGCAAACGCAGCTAAACAGACATTTTTAACCTACGTTTTCCAGCATTCAGTTTCCATCGTTCAAAAGTGTCTCGTGTACATGGAGCCTTAGGCCAAAATGTATTCTGCTACATGTCTTTGCTAAAAAAAAAAAAAAAAAAAAAAAAAAAAAAATCCCAAAACGTGTAAATGAATAGGTGACACCAATAAAAAGCACTGACACTGTACTAAAGGCACAGGGCAGGAAGGGGTTAATGTGGGGCGACCAAAGGGTTAACTGTGTGTTGCGTTGGTGTTTTCAACTGTAAACACATTGCCTTGTATGGTTCTGCTATGCAGAGCCATGTAAAGCTGTGTGCAGGAGCTGACAGGGGAGAGAACTGTATTGTTTCTATACATCTCCCTCCGTTGTTAAAGCTCGGCAGTCACCGGCCGGAACCCAGTGATTGACAGCCGAGGCAGCGAATAGCGGCATGTGTAGGCCGCGCTCCTTATCCGGAAATGCATACTCAGGTGTGTGTATATATGTGTGTGTGTGTATGTGTGTATATGTATATATATGTATGTATGTGTGTGTGTGTGTATATATATATATATATATATATATATATATATATATATATAATATATATATATAATTAATTTTGCGCACCCCTGCCGCCCTGTAGAAATGTATCTGCTATAGTGCGGCAGGAAAGCGGTTAATAGTTTTTTGGGTATGATCAGTCATATTTTTTCAATATCAATGCCAACATTCCATGATTTCTGCCAGGGTATCCAAACTTTTGAGCACAACTGTACATCCTAGCTTCTGACAGCACAGTGTGTCTATAAACCGCTTTATCCATGTGTGAGTGTCATATGGTAGGGGAAGGACTGACCGTTTATGAAGCCTGACCTTAAGAATTTGATGTTTTTTTCTGGTCTAGACACAATAATCAGACCCCTGTTCTATCCTTCTTCACCTGATTTTACAACACATTTATTTTTAATCACTGCTTTGTCACTGGCAAGAATGAGGAAATTGTGTTCAATTGTCCATGCCTCCCAGGCCCTTGGTATGCAGATATCTGTCTCCTGATAGTTTGAAAGTATTTTGCCATAAAATCTTTCCTTATATAATTTCCTTTTATTTCTTTTTCTGTGTAGATGTCTGTAATGTAAAGCTCTCTTTGTAATTATACCATATTTTTGACCCCTCTGTTTTGCAGAAAATGTCCCAAAAGAACTTCAGGAACCTTTCTACACCGATCAGTATGACCAGGAGCATATGAAGCCTCCAGTAGTGAACCTTCTTCTTTCTGCAGACTTGTACTGCCGGGCTGGTAGCCTTATTCTTAAGAGCGACACCGCCAAGCCTCTTCTGGGACATGACGCAGTCATCCAAGCCTTGGCACAGCGTGGACTTTATGTTACTGACCGTGAAAAGCTTGTGACAGAGAGAGACTTGAGAAAGAAGCCTATTCAGATGGTAAGATTCATAGATACTTACTAAAATTGTTTTGATGAGTTTACCACATGTGAATAGAAATGCTTTTGGATGCGTAAACATTTTTATACAAGCACAATCCTACGACAAACTGTGCCAACCATTTGGTCCATCGACACAGAGGTGAAATGTGAGACTGTTTGTGTCTGTGACAGAGAGAGACTTGAGAAAGAAGCCTATTCAGATGGTAAGATTCATAGATACTTACTAAAATTGTTTTGATGAGTTTACTACATGTGAATAGAAATGCTTTTGGATGCGTAAACATTTTTATACAAGCACAATCCTACGACAAACTGTGCCAACCATTTGGTCCATCGACACAAAGAGGTGAAATGTGAGACTGTTTGTGTCTAGGATATGAATGGAGGAAGGGGAGGTGCACTCTTGACATTTCTGATGCAGTTTTATCACGGACAAGAAGGGCTGCTCTTTCATTACTGGAATCACTAGGCACACAACCTTTGGCACCCTAGTTAACATCCTTCTGCTAGGGTTCTTTATTTTACACAATACTATTTCTTGTTTTTCTGTAACTAACCTTTCTTAATGTCTAAATAAGCTCCTATCAGATGCTATTCCTAGAGATCATGGGAAAAAAAAATAGATGTCTAGTAATGACACAAGCAAAATCACGTCATTACCTTTGTTGCCTATAGGTCCATGCTTACTATACCAAATGGGGAACCTGGCCCTGCTTACAAGCAACAAAAAGTGTTATCTGACCGTGACCCATCATCAGTAGATCATCCTAGACCAGTGATGGCGAACCTTTTTGAGCCCGAGTGCCCAAACTGCAACCCAAAACCAACTTATTTCTTTCAAAGTGCCAACACTGCAATGAAACCTGAATATCGAGCTTTTGGTTTAGAAAAAACAACTCGTACAGTAGTGCAAACTAATTAACAGTACAGGGATGACCAGAGACTGCGGACAGTACAGGGATGACCAGAGACTGCACAGTACAGGGATGACCAGAGACTGCGGACAGTACAGGGATGACCAGAGACTGCGGACAGTACAGGGATGACCAGAGACTGCGGACAGTACAGGGATGACCAGAGACTGCGGACAGTACAGGGATGACCAGAGACTGCGGGGCGGACAGTACAGGGATGACCAGAGACTGCGACAGAGACCAGAGCTGCGGGGACAGTACAGGGATGACCAGAGACTGCGGGGACAGTGACAGGACTGCGGGGACAGTACAGATGACCAGAGACTGCAGACACAGTACAGGAGATGACCAGAGACTGCGGACACACGGTACAGGAGATGACCAGAGACTGCGGACACAGTACAGGAGATGACCAGAGACTGCGGACACAGTACAGGAGATGACCAGAGACTGCGGACACAGTACAGGAGATGACCAGAGACTGCGGACACAGTACAGGAGATGACCAGAGACTGCGGACACAGTACAGGAGATGACCAGAGACTGCGGACACAGTACAGGAGATGACCAGAGACTGCGGACACAGTACAGGAGATGACCAGAGACTGCGGACACAGTACAGGATGATGACCAGAGACTGCGGACACATAGTACAGGGATGACCAGAGACTGCGGACACAGTACAGGAGATGACCAGAGACTGCGGACACAGTACAGGGATGACCAGAGACTGCGGACACAGTACAGGAGATGACCAGAGACTGCGGACACAGTACAGGGATGACCAGAGACTGCGGACAGTACAGGGATGACCAGAGACTGCGGACACAGTACAGGAGATGACCAGAGACTGCGGACACAGTACAGGAGATGACCAGAGACTGCGGACAGTACAGGAGATGACCAGAGACTGCGGACACAGTACAGGAGATGACCAGAGACTGCGGACACAGTACAGGAGATGACCAGAGACTGCGGACACAGTACAGGGATGACCAGAGACTGCGGACACAGTACAGGGATGACCAGAGACTGCGGACTGCGGACAGTACAGGAGATGACCAGAGACTGCGGACAGTACAGGAGATGACCAGAGACTGCGGACAGTACAGGAGATGACCAGAGACTGCGGAAGTACAGGGATGACCAGAGACTGCAGACAGTACAGGGATGACCAGAGACTGCGGACAGTACAGGAGATGACTGCTGACCTTTGGGAAGGGAGGGGGAGCGAGGTACTGAATTTGACAGGTACCAGAGACTGCTCTTACTTCCGCAGAGTTTTTTTTTATCTTACCTGTTCCTTTATCCAGCCGCGCGCTGTCTTCCCGGCTTCTGTAGTGTGGGCGCTCGTCGGACAGCCGGATGCCCAGTGCGCATGCGCGAGAAGCGCTGCGCTTTGTGATTGGTCCGGCGGCTTCTGGGATCTGTCATGTGTCCCAGGTACCGCCTTACCATTCACAAAGAGCACTGCTTCTTGCGCATGCGCACTTGGGACCCGGCTGTCACGCACACTACAGAAGCCGGGAAGACAGCGCGCCGCTGGATAGAGGGACAGGTACGGTCCCACTGCAGAGCTGAGCGGCCGGCCCGGTATTCTGACACGGCAGCGGTGGCAATACCGGACCGGCCGCTCTATATTCGCTCCATAAGACGCACTGACATTTTCCCCCCTTTTTTGGGGGAAAAAAAGTGCGTCTTATGGAGCGAAAAATACGGTATTCTCCTGGCGTGCCCACAGATAAGGCTCGGCGTGCCGGCTGTGGCACGCGTGCCACGGGTTCGCCATCACTGTCCTAGACTGTTATTCAGTATTTATTGGCACCATTGGGTGACCAGTACAAAACCAGATGTATTACAAAGCGAAGATGCTCACCATGGAGTCCTTATTCATAACTAGATGTAAAAGTCTTTCCATGAAAATGAAGGCTTTGCTTTATTTCCAACACCTCCCCCCCCCTTCAATAAAGATAGCTTAAAAAAAGCCATTGAAATAAATAACATTTGTAAAAATAAAATAGCTAAGATGAAGAACGCACCTTCTGGGAGGCTTGGGTAATGTCCCTGTGTCACACCACTGCTTTCATAAACACTCAGTTGGGTGACCGATGAATGCACAGCGTGTCCTCTGTTGCTGATGGACTGGCTACATAATGGAGAGTTTGTCATCAGGAAGGCAGTGACTACAATGGATGCTGGACTTTGTTCAGCTGTTATGATGCAGCAACAATACCTAAAGTTTATAAGTCAGATAATTATTTTGAGTTGACAGTTACTGTCATTGTGTCAGTAACAACAAATAGTTTGTTTAATTGCTCTTCTGCAAAGGTTGTCTTGTTTGGAACATATAACATCTTGCCATAAAATAGATGCATAATCATTTCAAGAACTAGAGCGTTATACAGCTGGTGAAGTAAGTATTGAACATGTCACCATTCTTCTAGGTAAATCTATTTCTAAAGGTGCTATTGACATGAATTTTTCACCACATGTCAGTAACAACCCATGTAATCCATACATACAAAGAAACCACAACAAATAAGTTCAGAAATTAAATTATGTGTAATAAAATGGGGAAAAGGTATTGAACACATGAAGAAAGGGAGATGCAAAAAGGCATGGAAAGACAAGCCACCAGCTGAAATCTATCAGTAATTAGAAAACAATCCTGGCCCTTGTCAGTGCAAATTAATATCGGGTGGTTCAGTTTCAAATGATGGCCTATAAGGTGTCACACAAGAAACCTCTCATGATGCGTAAAAGCAAAGAGCTCTCTCAAGACCTTTGTAACCTTATCATTGCAAAACATACTGATGGCATTGGTTACAGATGGATTTATAAAGTTCTGAATGTTCCAGGGACATAATCTGAAAGTGGAAAGAACATCATTTCACAATAAACCTGGCGCAACCAGGTGCTCCTTGCAGGATTCCTGACTGAAGAGTGAAGATAATTATCTAAAGAGTTGTCCAAGAGCCAAGGGCTACTTGTGGAGAGATTCAGAAAGACCTGGAACTAGCAGGTATAATTATTTCAAAGAAACAGTAAGTAATGCACTCAACCACCATGTCCTGTATGCACACTCACCACGCAAGACTCCATTACTGAAGAAAAAGCATTTTGAAGTTTATTTAAAGTTTACTGCACAACATTTAGACAAGCCTGTGAAATACTGTGAGAACCTAGTCTGGTCAAATGAGACCAAAAGTGAACTCTTTGGATGCCATAATACATACCATGTATGAGGTCAAATGGCCCTGCACATTATTATTATTATTATTATTATTATTATTATTTATTATTACCCTCAAAAATACCATACCAACAGTGAAGTTTGGAGGTGGGAACATCATGGTGTGTGCCTGTTTTTCAGCATACGGTACTGGCAAGCTTCATGTCCTTGAAGGATGAATGGAAAAATATACCAAGACATTCTATATAAAAATCTGCTCTCATCTACCAGGAAGATGAACATTAAACAAGGGTGGTCATTTCTGCAAGACAATGATCCCAAACACAATGCCAAGGAAACTCCTAATTGGTTTCAGAGAGAGAGAATAAAGCTGCTAGAATGGCCCAGCCAATCACCTGACTTGAATCCAGTAGAAAATCTATGGAAAGAACTAAAGATCAGAGTTTCTTAGAAGAGGCCCACGGAACCTAGTTTTTCCAAACAGGCGGTGTCTTGAAGCTGTCATTACCAGCAAAGAATGTACAAAGTATTACATTTCAGTTAGAGTGTTCAATATTTTTTCCTGTTTCATTCCATTTTATTACACATAACTTTAATTTCTGAACTTATTTGTTTTGGTGTCTTTTGTATGGACTGCATGGGTTGCTACCGACATGTGGTGAAATATACACTGCTCAAAAAAATTAAAGGAACGCTTTGAAAACACATCAGATCTCAATGGGGGAAAAAATATCATGCTGGATATCTATACTGATATGCACTGGGTAATGTGTTAGGATGCCTCATCGTTTGATGGAAATGAAAATTATCAACCTACAGAGGACTGAATTCAAAGACACCCTGAAAATCAAAGTAAAAAAATGATGCAGCAGGCTAGTCCATTTTGCTGAAATTTCATTGCAGCAACTCAAAATAGTACTCGGTAGTTTTTATGGCCCCCCATGTGCTTGTATGCATGCCTGAAAACGTCTGGGCATGCTCCAAAGGAGACGACGGATGGTGTCCTGGGGTTTTTCCTCCCAGATCTGGACCAGGGCATCCCCGAGCTCCTGGACAGTGTGAGGTGCAACCTGGCAGCGTTGGATGGACCAAAACATGATATTCCAGAGATTTTCTAGTAGATTTAGGTCAGGCGAGTGTGGGGGCCATTCAGTGGTATGAATTTCTTCATCCTCCAGGAACTGCCTGCATACTCTCGCCACATGAGGCCGGGCATTGTCGTGCACCAGAAGCAACCCAGGACCCACTGCACTAGCGTAGGGTTTGACAATGGGTCTAAGGATTTCATCCCGATACCTAATGGCAGTCAAATTGCCATTGTCTAGCTTGTAGAGGTCTGTGTGTCCTTCCATGGATATGCCTCCCCAGACCATCACTGGCCCACTCCAAAACGGTCATGCTGAACGATGTTACAGGCAGCATAACATTCTCCACAGCTTCTGAAGACCCTTTCATGTCTCTCACATGTGCTCAGGGTGAACCTGCTCTCATCTGTGAAAATCACAGGGCGCCAGTGGCGGAACTGCCAATTCTGATGTTCAATGGCAAATGTCAATCAAGCTCCGTGGTGTTGGGCAGTGAGCACAAGGCCCACTAGAGGACGTTTTGCCATCAGGCCACCCTCATGAAGTTTGTTTCTGATAGTTTGGTCAGAGACATTCACACCAGTGGCCTGCTGGAGGTAATTGTGTAGGGCTCTGGCAGTGTTCATCCTGTTCCTCTTTGTACAAAGGAGCAGCTACTGGTCTTGCTGCTGGGTTAAAGACCTTCTTTGGCCCTGTTCAGCTCTCATAGAGTAACTGCCTGTCTCGTAGAATATCCTCCATGCTCTTGAGACTGTGCTGGGAGACACAGCAAACCTGGCAATGGCACGTATTGATGTGCCATCCTGGAGGAGTTGGACTGCCTGTGCAAACTCTATAGGATCCAGGTATCGCCTCATGCTACCAGTAGTGACACTGACCCTAGCCAAATGCAAAACTAGTGAAAAACAGTCAGAAAAGATGAGTAGGGAAAAAAGTGTCAGTGGCCTCCACCTGTAAAACCAGTCTCATGGTTGCCCGTCTAGTGCACCTGTTGTTAATTTCATTAACACTAAAGCAGCTGAAACTGATTAACAACCCCCCTCTGCTACTTAACTGACCAGATCAATATCCCAGGAGTTTAATTGACTTGATGCTATACTCTGATTAAAAAGTGTTCCTTTAATTTTTTTGAGCAGTGTATTTACTGAGAAAAATGGTGACGTGTTCAGTACTTATTTACCCGCTGTATATAGTTATGTATTTATTCAGTATTGACAATTTTTTTTTTTCATGAGAGTAAAGCAAAATACATCATTCTAGGCAGTAGTATTTGGTAATACATTTCAATTCTTGCATCACAGATATCAAGATAATGTAGTTTGCACCTGTAGCTTTCATATTTCTAGGGACATAGAGTCCCAAGTATTCCCAGACAAGTTGCAGTACAAAGACTGTGTGTTCTTCTGTTAGTTTGGTTCAGAAACCAGTTTATCAAAAGGACATGTTTTTGACCACATTGCTCCTGTATTCAGATTATCAACCACTGATCAGTGACTGTACTCAGTACAACTTTAATTATATTATTCTCCTCTCTTTAGAAGTTCATTTCGAAGAAGTTCATCAATTTTTGCCTTTTTAGTAGATTTAAAAAAAAAAAATATTGTGTGTAATGCACATTTTTCCTTTTGACTAAACTGAATAAATAAGTGCAAATCACATTTCGTGATGTAAACATAACTGTGTTGTCTTATTTTGCATGAATGAAATGCGATTTGCATATATTTATACCATTAAATGTGATTTGCACTGCAGACTTTCAATTTTGATGAATTGCATCATGCTTGCACTTTGTAGAGTAGCACTGTGTAGAGATCCACAACAAAAATGACAGGTACCGCTCAAGGCTTCACCAGGGCTTCTTGCATGACAAACCGCTAGGAGTGCCGACAAGGACAGAGTTCATTCTGGCTCAAAACATCCAGTAGGGAAAGGGAGTTCTAAAAGTCGCATATCGCAGCAAAACTCTGGGGAGGTGTATGACAGCCTTAGCCTGGGCTTCAAC